TAGTAGTAGTAGTAGTAGTAGTAGTAGTAGTAGTAGTAGTAGTAGTAACAGCAATATTATAGTAGTAGTATAGGCAGTGGTAGTAAGCACATAATATATGATATATCCGATATAAGACGTATACAATATGCCTTTCCGGTACCCCTTCTATACGATCGGATAGCAATAATGATACCGCCCAAGCAAGGTCAGCGGTAGCGTCTCGTTGTCGTCATGGTCGTCGTCATCGTCGTCGTGTGCGTTAGAGTACATTGGCCTTGGAGCGTTGGACCTGATTATGTGTGTATGAACGTGTGTCGTGTGTGGTGTATGTGTGTGTATGTTGTGTGTTTGTGTGGAGTGCGCGTGCGCCGTGCGCTTGTGTGTGTGTGTGTGTGTGTGTGTGTGTGTGTGTGTGTGTGTGTGTGTGTGTGTGTGTGATGTCCCGAAAGAAAAAGCGCCTGCTTCGATGAGGGGGTGGGGCCGATGACCGGTGCTCTTTTCTTCACCGCACAACCAACGGTGGTGGCGGGCATGCTGTTGTTACACCTCTTCGTTCGTCCGTTCGCTCTTATTCTGCGCGGCGGAGGATGACCCTAACTACTGCTCGGAGTCGTCAAGGTCGCTCAACGTTTTACGGGCCCTTTATGCTGGCGGGCGGTTACGTACCCACCGCAGCTGCCACCCGCCAAACCGAACGCGCGCGCGTCGCTATCTAAATTGATTTAACGCCACAATGGTTCCTCGGCGTGCACAAATGATATAGAATTATGTGTTTTTTTGCGTTATAGCAATCATTATTATAATTTGTAATATAATTAATGTGCGTGCGATCTCTGAGGTGACTGTAAAGTCAATGTGAACTGCGTGTTTCGATCACCGCACACATTTCCGATGACCACAAATGATAATAATAATATTATTCTCGCCGAAATAATTTTTAGGTATTTCGTTGCCTATAATCGTAGCAATAATGCACTTCACCGCCGACTCCGCGACGGTTACCCTATTGACGCGCTCAAATTGTGCACGCAAAATACGTGCTTCTACCAGTTTTACCTATAATATATATGTATTAACACTTCAAATAGTACAAATATTAATTTCATATAATTGTTTTGAAATACGCTCAGATGTAGGGAATTAATGCTGATACACTCTTCGTATCAAATTTATTGGATTGCGTGTCGCGTGTGTCCTATGATATCCATTGACACAATCAAGTATAATATATTAGCAACATACGACATAATTCTACGCAATAATAACGTATTGAACAATGTAACGTCTCTTTGGACTGTGATCGATACGTAATTCTCATTATATTTCAAATGGTTTCGAAATTAGAATGACATTTTTACGATAATCAGCCGTGTGTTTTGCAGTTTGAAAATTCTCAAAATAAAAATATATCATGAATATTATTTCACACATTGATATGATGTTTATAACTCAGCACTATTAAATTTGGGTCAAGGCGTCAAATTCAAATGTTTTATTGATATTGTTATGAAACTACTGCTGTAGCCTATAATAGATTACATTGGATTGTTGTTTAACCGTTGCTGTTAAATCAACTAATCTGAATATTATTATTATTGGCAACAAGCAAAATAAATTTTTATCAATAATTTTATAGTTGCTATTTTTTTTTCTCTGTATATTATAACTTACCTACTTATTTATTTTTTAAACATTATTTTTATTTTTAGGTGAAAGTTGTTAAGTTCAGTTACATGTGGACCATTAATAATTTCAGTTTTTGTCGAGAAGAAATGGGCGAAGTTTTAAAATCATCTACATTCTCCGCCGGAGTAAACGACAAACTGAAATGGTAAATACTTGTAGTTTTATTTTCTATGCAACTATACTATTTTCTTAAAATTTCTGAATAAAATACTACTAATGCATATGTAATTTCATGTTATATTTAGGTGTTTGCGAGTGAATCCTAAAGGCTTAGACGAGGAGAGCAAAGACTATTTGTCTTTGTATTTACTACTAGTCTCGTGCAACAAGACTGAGGTTAGAGCGAAATTCAAATTTTCAATTTTAAATGCCAAACGCGAAGAAACTAAGGCTATGGGTAATTATTTAAAATTCTTCGAGTATAAAAAAAAATTTGTCATAATTTTGGTTTTTTTTTTTCGTTTGTGTAGAGAGTCAAAGGGCCTACAGATTCGTTCAAGGAAAGGACTGGGGGTTCAAAAAATTCATTAGGCGTGATTTTCTATTAGACGAAGCTAATGGCCTTTTACCTGACGATAAGCTTACCATATTTTGCGAGGTAATTTATATTTTCAAAAACCTTAAAACATTACATGTTTTAAACGGCCTTTGTTTACATTTTCGAACTATTCAGTTGCTTAACAAAATTATGATTATTAATTTATATATAAATTATGTTACAATGAAATGAAAAAATAAAAACATGGCAAATCTTAATTTAATAAAAAGTGGCACGAATAATGACTTGACAGATGGCTCGTTTGCAGGTAAGCGTCGTTGCTGACAGTGTCAACATATCCGGTCAGTCAAATTCAGTTCAATTTAAAGTACCTGAATGCCGTCTGCCCGACGACCTAGGAAATTTATTTGAAATACAAAAATTTAGTGATGTAACGCTTTCGGTTAGTGGGCGAGAATTCCAAGCACACAAAGCTATACTTGCTGGTAATAATCATAATGGCATTGCTAATTCACGTCAATCGTGTAAATAGCGTAATCCACATGTAACATAATAAAAATAACAAACCCTATTGTTTATTATGCAGCAAGAAGTCCCGTGTTCGCCGCCATGTTTGAGCACGAGATGGAAGAACGTAAACAAAACCGTGTCGCCATTACCGACGTAGATCACGAAGTCCTCAGAGAAATGCTTCGGTTTATCTACACCGGTAGGGCAGCGAATTTAGAGAGAATGGCGGATGATTTGTTAGCAGCTGCCGACAAGGTTTGTTTTTTTGTCATTACTCATTAGTGCTTTTAAATTGTTTTTTAGACTTATTTCACGTCGTTTTAATACTTTTTTTTCTTTGCTGTTTTCAGTACGCACTAGAGAGGCTGAAAGTCATGTGCGAAGAAGCGCTGTGTAACAATTTGTCAATCGACAACGCGGCTGATATATTAATATTGGCCGATCTACACAGTGCCGACCAACTGAAAGTACAAACAATCGAGTTTATTAACACGTGAGTATACATTATATTTATACTTAATTACATGGCAGTATTATATCATGTCATAACTATATTGTATAGTCATAATACGAATGCGATATACAATATGCATTGCATAGTAATAAATTATATAGTATATAACAGCATAGCATTTATATTATTTATTGCTACTTGTAATTTATAAATTTATAATCAATGATTTTAATATTATTTGGTTCAATAATTATATGTATATTGTATAAAATTCGATGAACTACAATATAGAGACTGCTAAAAGCCTTATTACGAAAATAGTTTAATAAATCTATTCCGTTGAATCATCTCGTGCCAGTTCGATTACATTTACCATTATGACTTACATAAAGTCGTTGATCACAAATAAACTAATCAGTAATAAAACACTAATCTAAAATCACTGTATCCAATAAGCCACATATCTAATTTACTTTTTAAATATTTTTCGTTTTAAATTAACAATTAATTATTTGAAAGTGATAAAATTATAAAGATAATAAAACGATAGGCCCAAGTCTAATTATAATTTAAAAATGTATATTTTATAATGACGTTAACACTATATACAATTTACGCATCATTAAAATTAAAAGTCTGGACTATAAACACTTATATAAATACATAAAATAATTGAGTATTAAAATGTTTGTAAAATTTATAACAAAGATTTAATAAATTTTTTTGTGAAAGTTGCGACCAATATTATAATGTTTTTTACCAATTTGGTAAAAATGAAAAGTATTAACTTATACTTTATTTTTACCTATTAATATGTATAAAAAAAGTTGCAAACATCACCAGAATTAATAAATATATAACACAATGTTTTAAAATAAAATCGATATCAACCTGTCACAGATAGGGGGATTGGGTATGTGCCGTTTGGCCTCTAAAGTCCTGTAATAGCTATCGAATAATGTTTAATGTAATAATATTATGTAACTGTGGTATTATAAACAGTAAAAATTATCGTCGTTGACTGTCCCCTTTTCGCGTCAATCAATCGTCAGTCGTGATATGAAATATTATATATTATATCCAATTAATTTAATCACAATACATTATATTCATAATATCATTCACATTTTCAATTTTACAGCCATGCGACCGATGTGATGGATACTACTGGCTGGAAAACCATGATACAGTCGCACCCACACCTAATAGCTGAAGCGTTTCGTGCGCTAGCCACACAGCAAATACCGCCAATTGGACCGCCCCGAAAGCGTGTCAAACAAAGCTGAAACGGACCGTCCACAGCGGCGATGCAGACTTACGATCTCACCAGCCCACCACCCCCACCCATCAACTCTTCCAGGGCACACATTTTGTAAATTTATATAATTTTTTTTTTATTATTCACAAAATTGTAAGTTTTAATTTCTTTTTTTTTTGTACATAAATATGTTATTTCTAAAAATAAGAAAATTCCTAAAATGCAAGTAGCTTGTTTGCTGATAACGCGTTTGGACATGTTTGTATTCTCACAATATATTGTAAAAAATAAAAAATAAAAATCGCTAACGGCAACCGTCGTCGGAATGGCACATGTGATATGAGTGATATTTGCAGCCTAACCTCGTATAATTTTTTTTTTTTAATATGTTACATTATATTATACATTCATTATAATACAAGTACTATTATTTTAGTTAGTTCCATTATTATTGTTACTAATAATAATATATAGGTTGAATTGCATAAATCTATAAGAGCACACAATTTTAATGGTCCATTGAATTGTTTAATTACTTGTTTTCCATTTATCAAAGGGGTTCCTAAATTGTTTTGAATCTATTTTATGCAACTCAGCCATTAGATTTATAATAAACATTATTTCATAATAATTAGCATTAAAAAACGATCATTGATGTTAACTATATAAACTAGGTCTCGTTATGAAATTTTTCGTTGAAACCGATTAAAATGGATTCTTATATTGTAAAGTAAACTATTCGGACAGTTTACTGTTTCCATTGTACTCGGTTTTTAATTTCTAACTTATTCTTTTTTTTCTTTTGTGTGTGTTCATAAAATAACATAATTTAGATGTAAATACTTAATAATTTGTAAGACCGTCTGTGAAAAGAGACTGAAGAAATTTTCTTTGAATATATACCTCAGTTCGTAAATTAATCAATGCGTCCATTCAGTCGCTTTTATGATTATTCAAACTATTTGAGGATACAATAATTTTAATTTACTTATTTTATAATCTATTTTCTAAAATAATGATAATTATTATTATTGTATTACTCTAAGTTTGTTTGGTATTGTTGTAATTAGTTGACCAAGTTTCTGTTCCTTGTAATTGTAAATAAGAATTTTTAGTCTCTTTTCTCAGCGTACTCTTTTCTTTTATTATAATTTGTTTTTCCTTGGTCACAGTACAGGAAAACAATAAACTCAAGCCTTTCCATGTTTATTTTCCGAATTCATTTTACTCGTGTGATTCGCTTGTTGTGTGTTTACCTGTTGTATGATATCTACGTCATTGGATTACATAGTTATGATATTGTGAATAATTTTAGACTATAGACTCAAAGTATTGTTTTTTCGAAATAAAAACGCTCGTCTTTCAATCCTATTTTTATTGTGTTATAATCATTAAATTTAAAAAAATAATATCTAAAATATTCATATTTAGACAAAATAATTTGTATGGATTTAAACAAGACCATAATCTTATAATATGCATATGTTTATGTTGATTAATGATAACCATTTTAAGTACAAATCAATTTTAAGTTAGCTATAGACCAGTTGATATAAAAACAGTTTTTTTTGATCAATGAATTTTAATTAATTATTAATTATAGATATTTGTTTCATAAATTACAATGCCACATTGACTTTAGTTTTCAAAACAAATACATATTATTGAAATTCCTTAGTACACCTGGCAATAGCCATGACCTCATTTTTTGCATAAAAAATATTGAAATTACAACAATGTTTGTTCACCTATAAAAACAGTTTCTATTTTATACATATTATATAACAGACTTCATATGTTAACGAAATTAATTATGATACTTTTAGTTATCAGTGTTATCAGTTATCACCAACCAATAAAAAAACTACTGTTTCTTAGGTATACAAATATTTTATAAAATATTTTTATATTTTTATAATATTGCAACAATATTCTCTCTGGTAAAATGTATACTCCAATTTGATATATTATTACTATATAGTGATTATTGGTATAGTACAGCAAAGCACAATACTTGCATATTAGTTATTACAATGGATCTATTGTATGTAAGTAGACATGAAAATCACAAATACAATTTTATATATCCACTTACAGGGAAAAAAAAACAAAAGATTAAATGCCTTTGAAGATCGACTAAGAATTGATAAAATAATGAAGGAACTCAAATAACAATAATAATTGATACATATTCAAGTAAATTTTTATTGAGACAAATCAAAAAAATACAAAGAATGTGTTTTTCAAGCAATTATGCATGATATGGTTACTACATAAGTTAAGATACACATATATTATTTGGATTATCAGATTATGTAATATAATTATTTAAAGGTCAGTGATATACTACCACAATGAATAAAAACAATTAATGAAATGATAAATAAAATATACAATTAGAAAAAGTTTGAAGGTTTGATACACCCAAAAACCTGTTGATTTGATTCTAGATAGTGATAACCAAAAACTACGTATATATTCAAGTAATAACTTTTTTATTTTGAATCACAATTAAGGCAAAATATTAAATAACATCAAGCAATATATATTTATCTATTAGTGATGCTGATAATTAATTAATTAATTATCTATCATGAGGAAAAACAATTATATAAATACACTAAAATATTATTTATATATATGTTATGTGTGTGTGTGACATGTATGCCATAATAAAAACTAATACCTTCTGATAGTAAAATATTTTTACCATTTATAATGAACATTATAATTTATAAATTACATACAATTTAATCTACTTTTCTAACCTTTTGTTAAACAGAAAGAAAGGGTTGTGATAATATGCTAAGTCCCTACTTCACTAAAATAAAAATCTATACTTTTAATGAATAATATTAATTTAATTATATAGTTATATAAATTAAATATTGTTATAGTATTAAAGTTTTCAATATTAGTAAAATATTTTTTTTTTACTTAATTAGATCTATTTATTAGTCTTATAAGATAAAACATTTTTTTTTTTACCAAAAATGAATGACAATTATGTTTAATTTGAATTTTAAAATTGTACCGAAAAAAAATTTCTACAACCTTCATTTGTTTATTCTATATTATTTGATTTTATAGTCTAAAAATGTATAAACCATCATAATAAGTTATACATTTTTTAAATATTTGAGATATTTGAATATTCAAGCACCTAAATATTATTAAAATAATAACAATAATTTCGGTTTTATTTCCGATACATACTTTTTTGAATTTGTCTGCAACTATAAAATATATGAAATGTTTATTGTAAGTGAATGTTAAAGAGACATTCAAGTAGATATTTTCAAGTATCTATTAATAAATACATTAGAAACTAAAAGACATTATTAAGTAATAACTTACATGATATTGTTTTAAAATATTGAATAGTAAAATAAAAGAATAACTTTAAATTTGTTTTGTTAATAAGTACCTACCTATACTGTATAAAATATAAACAGTTAATATTATAATATTATTTAAACAGTGATACATTTAATAGCGAAGGGAGTAATTATTTTTTCTATGATACCATAAGAGCCATTCTTAAAAATGTCCTGGTAGGTAGATCAAAAATTGACAATCCACTTCTTTACTTGGCTTTTCATTTATTTAAAAATAAATTTTTTTTAAACTAATCAATATTAATTACTATTTTGAAATAAAAATACAAATTGGACTTAGGTATCTAACTTTGAACTTAAAAAAACATTTTTGGAAGCTCCCATCATCGCACAATGTATTAATTTACTAGATAATGTTAATATTGTAAAATAATTTTAAAAACACTCTCCATCATAAAAAAAAACTAAAAAATGCGTTCCTACCTATATTGTCAGTATAATGTTATAAATTATAATGAATCATAAAAGTATCTGAATTTGAAGGTGAACTTTACACTCTTATATAATATATTTATATGCTAACATCCCTTTGACCTGTTCCTAGACTAATAGGCCATAGGTTATAAATTATTGTAAAGCTACTAGTTAGTTTATTTATATTTTAGTTTTTTATATAAGTATTAATTACTACAAATAAGTTGATTGATATAATTTTATAACATGTGTATTGTTGGATTGTATTTTTATAGATGGGTACTTTAGAATAGGTACTAACAAATAATTTGGTTTTATTATATTCTCAAATAAAATATTTTTTTTAGAATGTAATAACTAATATATTATACAGATATGTCGGAATATTTATTTTTTTAAATAAAATATTCATTAAATAGAGTATTAACAAGGAAAGTTGGGAGCCATGCGCACGAGTTGATGATGTCCTGCGTGGTGATAAATAGGTCAATCCAAAAACGTCCAAATTCAGCGTAAAAATAAATATGAGACGAATAAATGATGTCGAAATTATCTGCTTTTCTTAGTGGGATAATATGCAAAGGGAATCGGAGAAAGGTGTGATCGTACGAGTTGTCATTTTACTATGAGATGTGTCTCATAATTCGTGTTAATGTTTTATTTTATTTTTAAGTACCTACCTACCTATCTACCACAGTTATCGAGCGTCGTGACTCGTGAACTTGTAATTATGATTTGTTTATTTCAATATTTTGGTGGTATTATCTAAAATCCAAATAATGTTGTCATTATTCCTACAGTTTACTTTTTTTTTATATCTCACCGACCTATAAACTCGCATTTCGCCTCTGTTATAATAGTTTTTAGATTTCCAAGTAAGATAGATGTTCGAAAAGTCTAACGTTTATGGATTTTTCATGATTTATTATTAAATTTTATTTTGTGTAATCTACTACTTACTAAGCAATAAGCATATTGTCCAGCACAAGAAATCCTTGGTTTCTAAAATATACTTGAATTAGCTTTAGTAATTAATATCAGTTTAACAAGTTCACTGATAGGTTTTAGGTGTTTTCTAGAATATAATGTTGCGGGTATATTTGGTCCGTTAAAACTAACGGTAATAAAAAAAAAATAAACAGCTCTTTACAATTATTGTATCATTCTCTAGTCATTAGTCAAAATTCGCAATATTTTATCTGCAGACTGCAGTTGGCAACGCATTTACATTTCATAACATCATAAACTTATAAGTAATACGGATAAACGATAAACATAGTATTTTTTTTAAACGTTTTTATTTAAGATTAAGAACGTTTACACATGCCATTTTCATTTATTAGGTACCTACTACCTAATCGTACACTGCAATTATTTATATTTTTTTTGTTATGATAACCAGTCCATATTTCTAATTTTCGTTGATGTCAATTACAATTTATAACAAAATTAATGTAATACACGAATAAAAGTACAAGAATAAAGGAAAATATGACTCAGATTTTAATAGTTCAAAATCCCACCCCCTCTTTAACAGTTTAACACTAGGTACTATGTCTATACGACTATACTACATGAAATTATAACTTTCTACATAGTAAACGGATATAGCAGCTAAAATATAAATGCCACTATAATATTATAATAATAAAATGATGTGCGCCGCGCTCATTCAAGCCTGTTAAATTAACAATAATCTGTTTCGCATTCACATTTGTTAATTTGCATTATTTTGTTTGCAATCGAATTTCGCTATCGCAGTATCGCACCGTTGCATGACGCGCTCGACGTGCCGACGCCAAGCGCCAAGGACCGCCGGCTGTCCGCGAGACCGAGGTCGTATTATCAGAAAACTAATTAAAAATAACTTTGGCTACACTGTAGTAGCCTAGTCGATCGTTATGACCGGCGGCACTGGAATCCGGACGTGACAACCAATCACGGGCAAAAACCGTTTCACAGCAACACGGGTCGCGGCGTACGCGGGATTGTAAAAAGCGTTTTTAGCGGCTTTACACTGGTCGTGTCATGTGCTCATTTAATACAATTTACAGTCAGCGATATCGTTTCATTGTCTCGTTCGCTCGTCCTTTGTTTACGTAACGTTACATTTGAAATAACGTCCAGTCAACGTCGGTGTCCACAAATAGTATCAGCGATTTCTTTCGAAATTGATATTGACCTGTTCCTCCAACTGTAATAACCATAGTTGTTTTTGCAGTCTATTTTCGTTTTTATTTTTGTTATCCGTGCTGGTGGTGGTCCGAAGAGAAAAATGATAGGCGTTGGGAACGCTGTGTTGTACCGGTCGAAAAAGGATATCGATCGCCATGTGCAAGAACAGTTCGATAAACTCAGCAACGAACATGAGGTTTGTAGTCAAATGGGTGTTGTTCACTGGTGCTCGGTCAAGCCGTACGGATTGAATCGTTTGATTTACTAGACCTACCTATAATTTTTGTTCAAACTCAAATTTTTCTAAATTCAAATAGTGATGAGACAAATGGTTTTATGACACAAATTAATGGGTTACAACAATAAATAAGATTATGTTATTTT